CATGGGAAGACCTGGAGAGAATTCCAAGATGAACATTGTCAGCAGGATAATCAAGAATATGATACGTAAGTAACAAAAATGTTATAAGTAGTTAAATTGTTTGAATCACATGGACATTATTCAAAATGTAATTGCTCATATTTTTCATTTTGCAGATACGACTATGAAATTTTATTAATGAATGCTACGTTTTGTCTGGTTCCACGAGGACGACGATTAGGTAGCTTTCGGTTTCTAGAAGCTCTGAGATCGGGATGTATTCCAGTCATTTTAAGTAATAGTTGGGCTCTTCCCTTTCATGAACGTATTGATTGGAATCAGGCTGTAATATTTTCCGATGAAAGATTATTACTCCAAGTAAGGAACATAAATGCATATTTTGAATTAATTTCACTGTTACTTTGTTTTAAAGTGAATGATTAAATTTCATGAATTTTACAGATTCCAGATATATTACGATCCGTGTCTAATGTACAAATTCTTAAACTACGACAACAAACACAATTTTTATGGGAGAGATATTTTTCCTCTATTGAAAAAATTGTATTCACCGTGTTCGAGGTAATTGCCTATTCTTATATGAGCTATCAGAACCTTATTTTCAGTTTTTCGTTAATTATAATTATTAATTTAGAATATTCGCGAGCGTTTGCCATGGGAAGGTGCGCGGGAGAGAATCGTCTGGAATACTAGTCCTGGAGCATTGGCGATTTTGCCACAATTCACTGATAGCCAGCAAGAACTTCCCTTTTCGAACAGTAATCCTGGTAACACTTTCACTGCCATAATCTATTCGCAATTGGGATCCACCGCTGTACTTTATCGTTTACTTAGGAGTCTCGCGAAAAGCAAGTACCTAGATAAGGTAAGCCGATTTATTGCTAATTTCTTATTATTTCTGTTTGCTATGCATTTTGCGATATATCTTTGTGCTAACAAATTATTTTGTTCAAGATAATACTTATGTGGAACTCGGACATTCCGGTGCCAAGAAAACCACGTTGGCAAGGTATCAGAGCGTCAATCCACGTTGTTGCGGTTGACGGCATATCTCAACGTTTTTATCCTCATCCGTTAATCAAAACTAGTGCCATATTGTCGCTCGACGAGGACGCCACTCTAAATACCGATGAGATTGACTTCGCTTTTACTGTTTGGCGGTCATTTCCCGATCGAATAGTAGGGTATCCAGCGAGGTCTCACTATTGGGATGATTCAAAGGTAGGTATTATGCAGTCTGCGTTAAGTAATTTCCGTTCAGTCTGTAACTGTTTCGTAATCGAACTAATCTGGCTTTTATGTACGTAGCGTTCCTGGGGTTATACCAGTAAGTGGACAAACGACTACAGTATCATTCTCACCGGTGCCGCTTTTTACCACCGTTATTATAATACTCTATATACCGAGTTGTTAAGCTCGACTCTCCATAAGACCGTGGAGCAGTCACAGAATTGTGAGGATATACTCATGAATTTCCTGGTGAGTCACGTAACTCGAAGGCCGCCTATCAAAGTGACGCAGCGCAAATTGTACAAAGATACCACGGTAGCTGGAATTAGGTAGATATCGTTGAGACCATATATATACGATATCATTATCGATTTCTGACTCACGTTGGATTTCAGATCTCCGTGGAACGACCCGGATCATTTTATACAGCGACAAACATGCATGAATACATTTGTCGCTGTCTTCGGATATATGCCGTTGTTGCGATCTAACATGCGATTGGACCCCGTTCTGTTCAAAGATTCCGTGAGCAATTTGCGCAAGAAGTATAGGCAAATTGAACTAGTTAGTAATTAGAATTGTACACACTGCTCGATTACGCATGACTATTTAATTTTTTAAGCGCGCCAAATAACGCAAAATCTTTGCGTACGATACTAGATCTATTTTTTTAGCGCACTTACGATAAAAGTTGAGTCAAAAAAGTTATGTATGTACATAATTTTAGAGAATGAAAAAGGAAAGAGCGGAATAATGTGAATAAGTGCAATAAATATAGCTAAAAAAACAGATCTACCGTCTTTGCCGTGCGAATGTGCATATACAGTTGTACGGGACACGTTTGCCCGTTTGCGTGCTATGCCATATTAAGCTATCGGTATTGTCGGGCAGCAAATCAAAGTCCGTTATCCAGCAAGGACGCACGGTGATATCCCTGCGATTTATTTGTAGTAATTTTGTACAAATTGTAGAATCGTAACGACGCCGTTTCAATTTGACGATGTCTTGCGCAGCTATTATTAACTGCGGGCATTTAATTGATGTACATACAAATTATTTCGTAATTATTAATAAAAGAAAAAGTTGTTTAAGAAATACTTGAATTTTTCATATACTACATTGAAATCGTTTAAACGATTTGATGTAAAAAAAGATAGAAAAATCAAATTTTTCTTACGCGCGTGTTTTCATACGTAATTTATCTTGCAGCTGAAGAGGAAAACAGAAGCAAAAAAGGTATCATATTTGTATGTATAACAATATTTTTAATCATAGAGATTTGCGAATGTTTTTCTATTTGAATAAATGTATTTCATGTAATTCTTCTTAGATTCGGGATACGTAAGAAATCTAAAATTTTAAGGCGGACTTCGTCAAGTGCTTTGATAGTAATGACGTGAAAGTCAATGTTTATATTGAGACGAGGTGCAAGATCTGTTTATATTTAAAATGATTGTAAAGATGTTAGAGTTTAATGCGATTATCGATATTGATTTTTCTTGCTATCAAATAATTTTAATTTAATACGATATAATTTTAAGCGTCGCCTTACTAACCTCTTTCCCCTTTTTACCCTTTTTAATCTCTTTTTAAAATATATATATCACATATTTAAAGTTGATAAAATTTTATATCCGAAAAGATTCTGTCAATTTATCTAATTATACACAATTATTTATGTGCAACTATTGTGTACGCTGCATTGTTTTAATGGGTAATCACGTTCTACCGATCGCATTGGTTTACAAGTATATTTAATGAATCTGATCAGCATATTTATTCAGTTCAGCATATCTATTTAGCATATCTATTTGAATACTGCCGAGTTCTCAGGAACATGCTTGAAAAAAAAGAAGAAAAAAAGAAATTTTCTTTATCAAGGCGTCGCAACAATATCTAGTCGTTTACACCGATATGCAATACATTGTTACACGATGAGAAAGATAATTTGTAATCCCCTCGGTTAGAAGGATTGTACAATAATGTGGCATCTGCATGTGTCTTGAAGACGGAAAGTTATTTATATATATGATACGTTTTTTTTCTATTGTGCGTTCCATTATTATTCTAGAGAAATATTAAAGAAGCTCCATAATTTTTATGCACAATATATTTCTGCAACTTGAGGAGGTATGCGTATGCGTTAGAATCAAAAGCGACTGCGAGTTAATTGAAATTCTTATTATCCAGAATTTCGTGTTGTCATTAATTCTAATGATTGATCTACTTTACGATTGTCCTTGAGTTGCATCAATTGATAAATGTAAATTAGTATCTGGGTGTATATAGAAAGTGATAGGATAATCTCTATCCTTTAATTGCTCGGCGAACAATCCTAATCAAATATGTTCCAATCGTTACCGGTCACTGAAGGCAAGCATAATTCTTCGTACAAAAAAAAAAGTCCTATACAGTGGCCATAGATATTTTGATTCTATCCGATATGAAGTGATGGTTCCGATCTGTTAAACATTTTCCATATAATCGTATTGCGGAAAAAAATAATGTAAGGTAATAAGATATAGTATTAGTCATTTTATATGGGGGAAAAAATAAACTGTTTTGTACAAAAAGAAACGCTATTGAAGATAACATAATTATTTTTATTGATCATTCAGTAGTAGATCCCGTGATGTGATTATAGATCTTACTAATTTTGGGAGGACGTTGATTCGTCCTCCAAGATATAGAAGCATAGTATATATTTAAAGAAATAATATTAATCATTTTCATTTATACCGTAATGAATGATTATAACTCCGTATAATAATTCCCGTATAATATCTGATTGTAACTTATAATTGTTATCTGTACCATATAACATAACAGGAAAAACACAAGCATGGTAAATCTTAAGCAGTAAGCGAATCATTTTTAAAACTCGCGGCCAATCAGAGCCGCGAGTTTTAAAATAGTTACCTCAACTATGATTGGCCAATTCGCTTACTGCTATGTTCAGTCACTTTACTGCTTACTATGTTCACTCACTTTACTATTTTTCCACGCTGTCGCTCTTCGAGCTTTCATTATCGGTAATCCATAGTTTTCTTCCGCAACGAGCAAGGATTCTATCTTGTTTCTAAAAAGCTATTCTAACAGGAAACTGGTCTCATCACGTTGAATGCATCAGATTGAAATGCATCTCGTCATCGCGCAGCCCCTTTGGCCACATGAAACCGAGAACGGATTCGGGGTTAAAATCGCAGTGCGGCGTCGAAAGAAAAGCTCGAGTGACGCGGATTTTGGACAACCGTCGAAGACGACCAGTGTCCACCACCTGGTCCCCACTCCATCCCTGGTGATCGCGAACGTCTATCGCACTGATGAGGTGGTGGGCAACGCGCGCGGTGGTGGGTATAGCACCAAGGCTCCCTTCTTTGTTGCTCGCTCTGCTAGAAAGGTGACTATGCCATGAAGACGGGCGGCATCGTGCACGCCTCGCGTATATACTCGCAGTCACCTTTCTCTCTTCGTGACCGTAGCATATGTTCTGCGACGTCCATGGCGCATTCGCGGCTCTGAACAACGACGCTGCATTGCTGCTGTGGCTCTCGTAGACTCGCTCGTCGGAAGGAAGAGGAAGAGGAAAGGAAAAAAAACGGAGATTCGGAGTGACGATCGACCCGCGCGAGGTCAGTCCGCGGGTAACCGAGTCCGGTGGATCCGGAGACACCGAGGACTCGAACGAATTTTGAAATCCCCGCGCTGGTTTCGCCTCCCTTCGGTGCGGTCGGGGTGTGTGAGAGTCCGCGTGAAGAGGAGAAGAGGATAACAGTCGCAATCACCCCTTCGTCTTCGACCAATACCACCGATACCACGTCGTGATTCCTACGCCAGCGACCAACGACTACGAGGGAAGATGATAATCGTGAGCAGCGTGCTGCTGATCCTGGCGGTCGTGTCAAGAGTGGGTGAGTATCTGATTAATCGTTGCGTGCCTGCTCCTCTTTACCGGGAGGATGTACGTTTAAAGACCACACATAAACGCGGTCAAGCTAACTAACTTTATACATCCGAAGTCGTTGAATGTCGCACTTTGCCTCTCTTTTGTGGGTGGTCTTTGATACCCAAAACACAAGTGTCATTGCACTTTACCTCTTATATAATCTTTAGTATTCACAATTTAACAAGTTCATTATTAATGAGTACCGAATTAAAAATTTTACTTTTAATGTACAGTCGCGTTAAAATCATCCGTTGATATCCTTGGAAACGAATTTTTTACAGAAATCTTTTATAAGAATTTTATTCTTATCAAGATCATAAAAATGTTAATGGAATATTTCAATCGATCATTTCGCTCAACGGTAAATTCTAAACAATTCAGTGTGAATTTAACGATGAACTGAAAAAAAATTAAATATATACTTGAATATTTCTAAGTAAATGTAAACATATATTTATTTGATACAAAAACTCAATTTAACTATCATTTTTTCATTGAGTAAATATTTATTCACTCTAAGATTGCTTTATACTATTTAAAGAAATATGTCATCAAAATTTATTTTTTTTTTTCAGTATGCGTTATATAATTCTCACAATTGTTGTTAATGTTAACGCCAAAACATGTGAGTTTTACGTAAATATACTTCTGATGTAAATACCAGGGATCATAAATCCCTATCACGTCGATGTAATATTACACCAACACGGTGAGAATTATGTAGACACCACATGGTGTTAAAACCACACCGATATTTTTTAGAGTGTACAGGTAATCGTAACGAATAAGGAATATTGCAGATCAACCGGACGGAGAATTGATTGCGCGGTCTCGCGCGACAGGACAATTTATTGAGACAAAGTTTTTTCATTCGAGAGGGTTCCCGCGCGGCGCGGGAAAGGCTATCGCGGTAAAACTCGCTGCTAACTCGGGCTGGAATCGCATGCTCGCTCGCTCGCTCGCTCGTATTAGCTGCGAAAATATCAGTTTACGTAATGTCCGCGCCGTTGGATAACTGGCACACGCGGAAATCAAGCTATCGCGCCCATCGATCCCCCGGGGTGCGCCCGAGGGTAGCGTTATATTCTCCAAGAGCTCGTTTCCCGTCGCGCCTGATCCTTTGATTGACAGGAATGTCCCGCATGGGCGACCGAATGCTGCGCACCGAAACGCACGAATACACTTTTCTTTCTTTCAAATCCGCGCTGTCACGGCGCCTTGTCTTTCGAGCCGAGTTAATTACTCCAGGAGACCGATAAATGTCGTATAAGTAGTGTTATTTCGAGCAAAACTATATATGGAGGTACTAGCGTAAAATTAATGAGTATTAATTTCAGTGGGATGTTACTTAATTATTACTTTCGATTTGAATACATCAACTGTATAATTATATACGGAACGATTTTGCTGAAGTATCTAAAAATTTAGCTAGAAATAAATCTGGAATCGTTTTATTAAATTATGTAGAAATAATTATGTAGAACTGGTTGAATATCAACATTTTTTTGCAGCATTGTTTATTTATGTTTGAATTTCTTACATAATTATTTTGATGGCCCAATTGAATCATTTTTAGATTTGTATCTAACTAAATTCTTAGATATTTCAGCAAAATTAGTCTTTCCGCGTACGCAAGACTGACTTCTGTAATTTGAACATTTGTGCTTTTTTTTTTAAATTTAAAACATAATTTCTTCAAAATAAATATTTCTTTCTATAAATTTATGCTTAGGATAAATTTATGCTTAGGACAAATAAATCTCTCTGTATGTAGAGACAAAGTAATATCAAATGGAATGTTAGTTAATTAAAGTTTTATTAATGCATCTTCATACTTTACTGTCACGTCGTAAGTCACTCGGATCCAAGAAAAATGATAAAAGCAAACGATTCATTATAATTATCTCGTTTATGAGATTTACGATATCTGAGTGAAGAATCTTGAGTGTGTGGAACGAGTGCGTGAATGTGTGTGCCGCTTTGTTTGTGTTTGCGAGTAATTAAACGTGTCTACATAATACATAATTATCCGCGAGAGGTTCCTTCCCCGAAGAAACGTTCCCGCGACACAGCGACGGTTTAACATTCCCAAATGCAGAAATCTCCCGCGGGCGGTACTGCACGTTCGTCTCTTACTTTCGGGGAGGGAGGAGAAGCCTTTTGCAATCCGGTAGCACGGTAGGTCGGTTTCGCATGCGAAAAGACCGATTTGCGAAACTTCGCCGCAGCAGTGGCCGAGCTTGGATAGAGTCGAGCGCTCCGGTGAATATTTCATTGAAAAGGCGAAATTGCGAAACGGCGAGTCTCTCGGGAAATTCGTGGTATATTCGGGGAAAATTTGGTCATCAGAAGATCTTGCTTGGAAAGCCTCGACTTATTTATTAAAAAAAGAAAAAAAGAAAAATATAAGATCGAAAATATCGATCAAGTAGAGAAGTTAATCTACTGGTTGGCTGATTGCAGCACAAGGCAGACGAAACTTTATAAAATTAATAATTGCGCAATTGTCAAACAATGATGCGTGCCAGTTCGATGGATAAGATTTACAACTCTTTGATTGCTTAACGGTTATTTTTTTATGTACATATAAGTATAAACTTTACTACTAGATGAATGGCTACCAATTGACTAAACAATTAGGAGGCTCTCAAGTAGTAAAACGGTTGCCTGAAGCAACCGATTAGTACTCCTGCTAGTAAATCCGCTTATGCCTGTCGATTTAGTTTACGTAATAACATTACAAGTGGCAACTACTGAGAGTACCGTCGGAGACTCCAATCGCATCTTCGCTCGTGCATTCTCATCAAAGAATCGCGCCGCTTCATCCCACCGACGAGTAGTTGTGCCAAACGGAGCTTCTCGCAGGTTTCTCGCGGAACAGAATCAGCCTGCACGATTTTGCGAAATCCGAAAGTGACCATAACGCTGTCGTGATCCACGTCGGTCTCGGTCGCGTATCTGGCCGGATCAGATATAAAACAGAATTCATCATTCGGCGAAGCGGGCGCGACGTGGATCCGAACAAAAGGAGAATGCTTTTAACCGAACGGTATTGTTGCTATATTTCGATAACCACGACGACCCGGCTCGGCGTGGAAATGGTCCCTTTGCGAAATCCACCCGGAGGTGCTCGGTTGCACCGTGTACACCGCAGGCGGGCAGGACGACGGCGTTCGGAAGGCAACGGGAAGGGGACGTAATCAGAAATCTGTTCCCATCGGTTAACGAGACGGTTGCCGGGGACAAGGGGGACTCGTCTCGTCTCGCAAGAGAGACGTGTATCCGCCGTCGCGAGAGAGATCGCGGCGCGTTAAGATGAAAGATAATAAGAAAGAAATACCGATCTCTTTGCAAGAGGAGACTCGCGGATACATGCAATCGACCGTCGCGTCCTGGGTTAGGTTGCCCTGTTCGCGTTCTGTTCTTCCGTAACACGTTTGCGTCCACAAACGTTAGCCGAAGAACGCGTCAGTTTTTCTAGGTGTTACAAGGCTCTTAAGCTCCGTTGTATTACGGGATTGATGATTACGCTGACGGACGGTGACCTTTTTCTCTCGCGTGAATAGGATATTATGGAATTATTATTATTGAACTATTATTATGGAATTATTACGAGTACTATTATTAGGTATTGTGGAATTATTGGAAATGGATTTCGATTGGAATTGTTTAGTTGTTTCCTAGATTTCTATTATGTTTCCTATACGAACGTTTTTATTAAAAATGTAACTATTATAGATATAGATCTGTAATAATTTTGTTTGCTCACCAAAATAATTATATATAGGATGCTCAAACTGATTGTTAGAGCGTTAAAACTTTTTAATCGAAGCATTGCTTATCATGTTTGAAATTTATACGTAATTATTTGATAAAATTATTTTCAGATCTGTATCTAGCTAAATTTTTATAATAATAATAAACAATTGATTAAGACCGTATATGTGAATACACAACAAATAAGAGTTTCAAGTCTATAACGGTTGAAGCTGGATTTTAGATGCTTAAATAATTTTCATGTGAATTTATATATCACATATGTAGTTATTTTGAACTGCGCGCCGAATTGGTTTTTCGGACTTGTAAATGCAGTTAAACTATTGTAGTAATGTCACGATTAAATCGACAAACAGTTTAATCGTGACATTACTTAATTTAATGCTCAGTCAGGCATCCTATTAGAAAGATGTTAATGTGCTAAAAACTATAAATTAATTTATTACGAAAAATATTACCTCGGCCGGTAGTTGAACCCGGATCTTTAACATTCCATACGAGATACATTTTTAGATATTTCAGCAAAACCGTTCTTTCCGTATATTCTCTAAATTCTTTGGAATAGAATTTTATTTTAAAGAGTGAACATTGAGCCAAGAAGAGTGGCTCAATTTTCAATTTTTAAGAGTGAAATTTTACTCTTTAGAGTGAGATTCACTCTAAAAATTTTAGAGAGTAGGGAAAACGAAATAATTTCGATCGAAAATCATTTCGAACCGTTTATATGATACATATTCTCTTCTGATTCACGAGTTGCATCGATGTGCGTAAGAGAGTAAGAACAGAGAGGCAGTACTATCTTAAGCCACGATGAAATCAATAATTAGGATCAATAATTATTCCTTTGTGCGTTACTCGGTTTTTTCAACAAAAAAAATATCTCACTTATGGAAATAGCATCTGACCAGTATTCAAATTAAATAGCGGATAATAAATTAAATAGCGGAGGGTGCGATGACCACTTACTTCTCAATAGTTAGTTAAATTATCGATTAATGAAAATACTAGTTGAATTCACGTAACCATATCCTTAAATAGTGATGTCGCGATTCACAAATATATATGAATTACACAATTATCACACATAGTGACGCCATCTCATTTACATTATCAGTTGGAATGAATTTTCTATTTGAATTTTTTATTTGACGAAGGTCAGTGGCTTTTTGATCGAAATTCGTCCAAGGT